GCCGAGTCCAGTCGAACAGAAGGCAGAAAAACGATTTTCAGCATGTAAACAGTTATAGCATCACATACAACAGAAACCAATCAAGGCTCTGATACCACTGATGGGTTTTAAGCATAAGAACAATCCTATGTGCTCATACAAACCCTAATGCTTGGATCTAGGTTTCTCTATTGTACATGCAATGAATCCAAGACTTACAAACCCTAGATCTATCAAATAAGAACTGAAATAAGGGTTTAGTAATTACCTTTGATTGTTATATAGCAATAACAATCAATCCTTGCTTTAATGGCTTCAGAAAACTTAGTGCCTCAAGTGTTGCACCTCTAATGGAGTCACAAACACCACTAAGCAATTTGGATGAAGAGGGAGGAGAGAGGAGGCACCAAAAACGGCTGGAAACCCTAAAGGATTATTTGTCCACGTTTTTGGGGCTTAAGGGTCCTTTATATACATGTAGGCTATTAGGGTTTACAACTAGGAAACTCTAATCTGGCTGCTTAAGCCCTAAGCAGTCCAATGGACCATTCCAGAAGGCCCTTGGACGATTTCTTTATGGTCCTCCATATAGAATTAGTCCATTGCCATCTAATGGATCCTAAGCCCAACTTTGTAACTATCTTATAATTACAATATCAGCCCCCTTAATATAATTAATCTCTTTTAGTCACAAAATTAATTCTTAATTAATTCTTGACTAATATTAATTAAACAATATGATTTCTCCTTTAATATATTATTCTTATAATATATTAATAAATCATAATTAAACCTTTCTCTCCTTAATTCATCCTACATATTGCTATGGTGAAGGCAACCCAAAAGGACCATGCTCATAATCGGGTCAAGTACATACCAAAATAGTTATGGACTTAGACACTAATCCAACAAAAAACACATACCACCAAAAGATACAAAGCCATCAAATACACTCGGTCAAATTACAATGAAGCAGAAGATGATCCAAGTTTTCATTGTGGGCCTTGCATAAGAGGCAAAGCATGAAATTAACATCAATCCACTCAGTGGCGAGTCTAGAACGTAAAATAATGTGGTTCACTATTTAAATGAAAAAGATATATATATATATATATATTATATATATATATATATATATATATATATATATATATAGGCTTAGGTTATTTTGTTATTACTAACTATTGTGTACCAGAATACAAGATCTGGACCACAGATAGAATAGAATCAATGATCATGATCTGAGAGTCTATGATATTACGATAGGGTAATATGTACCATATAATCACACAAATTTCAGCATAAGGGTATTTTGGACAATTAACTATATTTAAAAAAAAGGAAATTTTCGGATTGTTAGGGATAATTAATACTACTAATCTGAATTTTTTAAATTAATTCAATTTAATTCTAAACATAATTTGTAAACATAACCGATTTTATTCCGTCAAAATGTTTTTTTGTTAGAATGATGTTCTTTCAGAGTTTTATTCTATTACAATATTAATGAAGAATAACAGAATTCTTGAACTCCTACGTGAAGAATAACAACATTTTAATATTTCCATATACATTCGAACTTAAATACAAATTCATACATATTCTTACATACTAATAGCCTTATACATTTTAATATATTTATACATATTCTAAAAGAATATCATAAAAAATCAGCATTCTTGAATATACAATTAATGAATAAATACAAGTGTAATTCTTAAAAAATAAGAACATTCTTAAATTTGAGTGTGATCAATCTTTGACTCATTCTTCAAGTCATTCTTATCAGGTCTTCAAGTCATTCTTCCGACCATTTCTATCACAAATGCAACAAAAACTAAGAATGGTTAAAAGCATGTTACTTGCAATTACTATCAATTTATACATTCTGGAGAATACATAGAATACATTCTGGCAGAATACATATAATACATTCTGGTAGAATATATAGAACAGAATCTTGCATAATACATAGAATACATTCTCGCAAAATACATAGAATAAAATATGTTATTTATAACTTTACATGCCACTATAAAGAATTAAAAGCATGTGATTTGCCATTTGCAATCGTATTTCTATATATATAAACATTCTAAAGCATAGAATGTATAAATGCATTCTGTCAGAATTACTAGAATGTTACTTGCAATTCCTAGCACTTTATATATTCTGGAAGAATACATAGAATATGATAGAATACATAGAATTTGCTACTAAATCAAGATTATAAAATTGTTGGAAAAGTGGAACATGTTAAGTTTAATATTTTGCAAATATTATACGGTTAGATTTTGATATTTTCCACATATTGCTTATTTAATCAGGTGATTAAAAATGCTTTTGAGAAGAGATTTCTCATTCATACAATGTTTAAGTTCTAAATTGTCTCAAATTTGTGAAATCTCTTATAAACTGTTAATCAAATCATCAACCTAAATTGATTAAAAAAGAATCAAATTCCAATAGCAAAGATTGATGCTACTCAGGTAATTAACAAACAAGGAGTTAACAACAACAACAACAAAAAAAACATATCAAAAGGTTTAATGAAAAAAATAAAAGAAATACTCTTTCAGGCAATTAACAAATAAGCATACCACATGTTAGAACCAAGTAAGACAAATAACCAAGTTAGAATTATTTTTGTGTTCTTCAAGAATTTGAACATCAAATTCTCTTTGAGGCATTTCTACAAACACCTGGCGTGCAACATAGTAATCAAATTCTCTTTCAGACTATTTCTACAATGAAGCTGCCAAATGTGAAAAAGTAAAGGTTGAAACAGAAAAAGAAAACACCTAATGTAAATGAAGAATGTAATTTACCTGTAGAATAGGAGAATAGAACGAGATGTCTGGGAGAGTCGATCAACATATACTTTCAGCGCCATTTTTTCTCTCTACCCATTACTTGAGTTGTTACTTTGATCAAGCTTTGATTTGGATAATCAAAGAATCGGAAATCAGTGAATAAATCAAATGGAAAGTTCATGTGAAGAATCGTAAATCAGTAGCATTCAGAGGAAGAATTGCAAGCAATCAAGAAGTAGAAGAATAAGAAATCAAATAAACTTACGTTGGTGGCAGAGACCAACCTTCAAACCATCGATTCAGCAGTTGGACTTCACCAGCGAATTACAAAATCAACTTGAATGGTGGTTCAATTTTGATGTCGGTGGTGATTTTTGGAGCGTGAAGATGAATTACAGAGAAAAGAATCGGCTAGGGTTTTTTTCAACAGATTTTGACTTTGACATCCCATATTTAAAGGAATAATAAACATATTAATTATCTATCATAATTAAATATGCAAAGATTACTATAATACCCTTAAATGATTAATTTAATTATTTATTTTTTCCTAAATTCCTATTGGTGCATTCGTGCACACAATAGTTGCTACAAACATTTATATATATATATATATATATATATATATATATATATATATATATATAGGGTAACGATCAAATGAGAACACCTAAATGTTGAGAACGTGAGAACAGTTCTTGACCAATCAATATATAAGGGCATATTAGTAATTGTATATTTTAATTAAATTAAAATAAAACAAAATTCAATCAAATTCCCTTAAATTTAGGATCGGTTACCAAAAAACATAGAAATATTCTATTTTTTATTTTTCTTATTAATGGAAGAAAAAAAAAACATTTTTGCCAAAATTTATTTTAAAACTGAAAAAAAATTCTTAAAAAATCATTTTTTTTCTCCGATTTCACGTAAATTATACACCAATCGTAAATGAATAAAAAAATAAACTATCAATCATAATTGATTATATTATAATTTGACTTTGTACATTTATATTGACATAATTGTACTTAATGATTAAAATCACTTTGAGATCATGTATTCATATATAAATGCACATTTTCATTCATAAATATAAAATATTATAGTTTTTTAATGAATACAAATATAATCGTAATTGAATAAAGAACATTATAAAAATAAAAAAAAATCAATACATTTGTAATCTTAAATGAATATAACACAAATTAGAGATAAAACATCAAATTTGCAAAAAATAAATAAACAAAACACATTTACAATCATATATGAATACAATTATAATCACAAATGAAAAATTACAATGTATTAATATAAATAAATTCCGGTCCTTCCAAGTTGTTGTCCATGTACATTCATCCTTCATCCTTATAATTATTTAGCCATTCCGTATTAACTTGGTCAATCTATAAGAAATCAAAGAACTTTTTTTGTATTATTTGTCAACAAAGTGCTTAACTCATTAACCAATTTGTTTTCTAAATTGGTTTATTAAATCAAAATGTAATAAACAGAAAAATAGATTATCATTAATGAATAAAATTTTATAAAAATAAAAAAACTGAAAGTTGAAAATCAATTTTACAACAATAAAAAATGAATACAGTGTATCCAAATACTTAACATTTAATACAAATAATGCAACAATAAAAAATGAATACAGTGAATCCAAGTCAAAATCTCTCGCAAAAAGAGTGATTGTGACTAGGATGAATGAAATAGACTAAAGAAGTAAAGATACATCTCAATTATCCGAACTCCCCACATATTCAGATAAGACAGTAATCAAGTTCATCTTCATTCCGATTAATTATGCCCTAGAAATCTTCATTCCGATTGCAGATATATCGCATAGTCTATTGCTAAAGACTATTGCTTCGTACATGACAACAGTAGAAAGGGTAAAGAATATGATAATTGAATATAATACAAAACGATGGCTGACCTGTTCGTACTGCCGCTACCGTATTCATAAAGCGTAGATGGACTCGTTAGCGATACCTGCCTTTGGTGTTAATGTATTATCATGTAATAAATTTGCAATTTGAAAATGCTCTTCTCACAGACATTTTATCGAGCACCTTATGTGCATAGTTCATCTCCCTTTTTTTTAAAAACACATATGTTAGATCCATCTCTCCTGCGCTCAATCATCCAATTCAGTGAATAGTGAATAGAGAAGAAACATTTTGAGATGGAGAAATGGAATTAAAGAAACAAAGTCGAAATAGAAATTACATGTTTTTTAAGTATGTCATTGGACACCTTCTGTGCACAACACGTGTTCTTTCTTTTGTTAGCCTTATGAGCTTTCATAGCTGGACTACCGTATTCATAAAGCTTGTCATTGGAGGAGAAGACGACGACGACAGTAGCATCGTAGAGAACGGAAAGTTGTTGCGCTTTCTTGTTTAACCCTGATCTCCGCTTAGAAAATGTCACTTGTCTGCTATTCTTGTCTTCAATTCGCTTCATCTCCAACTTTCTCCGACCCATCGTACCCCTAGATCTCCTCCGGACCTAACTTTTTCAGTTCTGATATGGTGTATGGTGGTGACGGCTCAATTAGGGTTTAAAGGTTTGAAATTAGTATTTAGAGAGTGAGAGGAAGAAGGATACGTGAGTGAGAGAGAGAGAGAGAGGGGCAGAGAGAGATTCCAACAACTTACAAAAATAGGTTAACATGTAATGACCATATTACCCTTTAGACTATTAAAAATTTACAATCTCATCCCATGACTTTTAGAAATTTATAATTTCATCTCATGACTTTTATAAATTATATTAGCCTTAGATCGTAATATTTGAAGAGCTCAGATCTGTTCTCGCGTTCTCAACCTTTTTGGTGTTCTCATTTGATCTTACTCCTATATATATATATATATATATATATATATATATATATATATATATATATATATTATATATATATATATATATATATATATAAGTTACGGGTTCAGATCGGGTCGAATTGTATAAGAAAAAAAAATCAAATTATTTTTAAAGACATTCTTGATTTTGATTTCTGAAATAAACAAATATCAAATAATCAATTCACATTGAAATTTTGAAACAATAAAAAAACCTAATATGAACTCATGGAACAATAAAAAAATGAAAACTAAATTCACTAACTATTACCAAACATTCAATAGCTTTGCCTTTGATGCTTATTGAATAAATATCAACAAGCAATAATTATAAAAAGAAAAGAAAAGAAACCCAATAGTGAATGCAATTAAACCCACAACTAAATTATGAATATTAAATTCACGAATTACAATAGTGGTTTTGTCGACTTTTTGATGCTAATGGAATACTAGAATTGGAAATAGAATTTCCACATAGTTTAATCATTTTCATAAAGTTAACAAAGTAGAATATAATTACCGATGGTTGTAGATTGGATTGACAATTATGAAGAATTGAAGATCGAAGGTTAACGTGCTGTGAAATGATTGCTTTATAATTCAATGTTTTATGGATTTTTTTATTGTAAATTGTATTTGGATATGCATATTGAATTATACATTAAAAGATATTGGGCTATTAAAATTTATAGAATTCAAAAATCTAATTTTTACACTTTTATTGCAAAAAATATTAAAGTGGTTCATTTGTATTTTTTTTAGATAGGTCACAATTTTTATTTCATATATTTGTTACAAAAAAAAAAGATGGGTCAAGTGACCCACCATAGTCGCACATAAACTCGTCATTAAATCCACTTATTCACCAAATTGGTTTTAGTAGGCACGCGATCTAAGATCCTACACCAAGCCATAAGTTTAATGAGAATACCAACTAATGAGATTTACTTCCTGTAAACGGAAAAAAAAAAAAATCATTCTTCAAACCCGATAAAAAAACAACATTATATTTGTTATTATTTTCGCCAAAACTTATAAAAATAATAACCTCTTCATACGAACTCAATTTTCAACGTTCTTTATATCTACGCATTTGTCTTGACGACTACTACAACTTTCATGTTGATCATTTTGTCAAAAAACAATATATTTTCACTTTCATTTTTATAAACAAATGTTTATATTTATTAACTTTTATAAGTGAAAATGAGTGTTACATTTTATTGGTTTATATTAAAATAAAAAAACTTTGAAGTGGTTATGCTTACTAGATTTTGCTTAAAAACTAAAAAACACATTTTCGAATAAAAAACCAAGACATTTACTAAAACAAAAAACATATTTTCACAATAAAAACCAAGATATTAAAAAACCAATTGACATGTTATTCATTTTCGAATTATATAGGTGCACAAACAAAAATATATTTTTTATGTGAAAAAATATTTATTTTTTTTAAATGTTTTTATGTGAAAATATTTTTTTTGTATAGAAAACATATTTTCACATAAAAAACCTTCTCTGCGAAAAACCTTTTGACCGAATTTATATAAAAAAAAACATATTTTTCACATATAAATTTTTTTTAACAAAATTGTTTTGTAAAAAAAGTTTTTATATAGAAAAAAGAAGGGTTTTATATGAAAATATATTTTTTGTATAAATATTATTTTATAAAGCAAAAATAACATATTTGAAACAAAATTTTGAAAAAAAAAATATGTAAAAAACTAAATTTAGGATGAATTTGTAACAACATTTTGAGATCTAAGCCAAAAGTGTAAATTTTGGACCAAGTTTATAATAAAGTTTAAAACATGGGCTAAAAGTGTAAATTTTTGAAAGTGGGAGACATGATAGGCAGGAAAAAAGATGAAAATGAATACAATTCATGGTATTCAGGACTTAATCAGAAAAAAAATAATAATATAAGGACTTAGTTGAATATGAGGTTAAAATGTTTGGATTTTAGTAGATTTCCTTATATATAATTAATGAATTATTTTCCTTTTATTAATTTGTATCATTATATTTTATTAGATTACATTTTATTTCAATCAACAAGAAAAACTAAAAATATGGGATGACAATCACCACTTTTGTGGGTGAAAGGAGAAGATATGACGATGATGGATGATGTAACAGGACAATGTATGGTAAAATGTGTTATGATACACATCAATTTAATAGAAAACATAAAACCCCAAATCAATCTAAGAAAAAGAAGCAAACACCATGGTTCTGTATATATTGATGTTATCAAGAATTTTTTTTATGCATCGTTCTTGAATTAGCAAATGTTTAGATATTTATGCTACCGTAGAAAATACAAATTATATTAGTAAAAAGGTTATTAAAAAAAAATTAACATAAAACATAAAAAGATTGCATATTATGGGGAGTTGGTGGGTTTGGGAGAAGAATTGTTATGAATTGGGCGTCGTCTTCTTACGTGAGAATAATCCATGGTAGTGAAACCGGTCGGGTCAAATCCATTTGCTCCATTTTGTGTAGTTTCTTCTTTCCTCTTTTGTGATCCATCTATATCTATATAAAAGAATATACATATGTGAGGATAGGATTTTAAATTAGGTCATAAAATGATTATTTAATTTTATTTATTTTAAAAATAAAAATATATGAATTTAATAATATTTAATCACTATAACTTAAATACTTAATAAGCTTAACTAATGAAATGATAAAGGTATAGTGGTTATATGCATCTCATATTTCTTTTTTTGAATTTGAATGCGACCCACAATTTCAAAACCACTCCTTAAACTACTCTTGAATTTTATTTATAACCCTAAACCTAATAGAGAGAAGACATCTATCATGCCTCTAGGACAAAATTTTGTTAGTTTATATTCCCTTTTTATAAGATTTGTATTAGTTAACTGTATATTTGTATTTTATTCAATCTATAGTTAAACTTGTTTTTAACAAGATTACAACAATTGTTTATTGATACTTACTTTAACTTTAATTTGAAATATGCATAAACTAAAAGGTTGAGATAAAAAAAAATAGCCACATTTGGAAATGACCTTCTAATATATAAAATAGTTATTTTCATCGATTTCCAAATAGAATCACTTGAAATCACTATTGTTGTGAAATTTGCTTTTTTTCCATAGAATGCGAAATGTCTTTAATGTATATGAAATTGTTCTAATTAATACGAAAATCATTTTTTTAATTTATGCGAAATGTCTTTAATGTATATGAAATGTCTTTATAAATGTATATGAAATTGTTCTCATATCATTCGTAGCTAGCTAGGAGGTACGTATTACGTGAAAATGCAACGTCTGGTTAGAAGAGATTTTTCAAAAGAAAAACGTATAAAATGAATAAATAAGTGAAAAAAAAAAAAAAAAACCAATATGATAAGTGTGAGTAGAATCTTTGCTATTTTTTGAAAATTCACTTTTTAAGCTATTTTTTTAACAGCTGTAAGATTTATAAATAAACACTATAGTTAGCCAAACATTTGACAAAGCACTAATATAGCAAACATAGGATTTTGAGGATACCCTACCTAATTCAGCGGTTAGGATTAGGGTGTGCTTGTATATATTCTCTTTAAAGCTATAGTTGTCATTTTTCTGTAAAAAGGTTCTTGATGAAAGAAAATGCAATTATCGTAGTAGATAATATATGAACATTAAGCTAGTTAATTAAATGCATAAATAACTAATTTATGTTTTATTATATATATATATATATATATATATATATATATATATATATATATATATATATATATATATATATATATTAGTTTATTATGTTAGCCTTTTATTTCATTTTTTCATATTAGTAGTAAGTTTATTATTTTGTTATATATTAGCTTAAACTCTAATTCATAATTTGTACTCTAAAACAAATCTTAATCATGAAGTCGTTTGGTTTCTAATTTATTTTTTGCAAGAATAGATAGGAAATAAAATGGATTTGAACAATACATATTAGATAATTTTTATATATTTATTTATATTACAATTATATTTGTTTATTGTAAAGATATGTGACTGAATTTTTTAGCTTTATTTATATTCAAATATGCATGTGTGATGTGGCATGTGTACATTTTTAATTAAAGTTGAAATTTGATGAACAATTACCTAATGGAGCTTCCTTTTGGTCATTGTCAAACATCAAATCTTGATCTCCATTCCCTTCAACCTGATCGAAACACAACCATAATTTGAAAACTTAAACCCCAAATCGATTTCATTTGAATCTTGCATGGTTTGTCTAAATCAAAGGGCCAAAGCATATAAAGTTACCATTTCTTGGATCATCAACTTTCTTGAAATCACAGGAGAAAGAACATGTTGGTCATAACCTGCAAAAAATATAACCACATCATCATCATCACCACCATGCATGAAACATGAGAGTTGGAGTGGGGGTGAGGGTAGGGGGTAGTGGGTGTATGGGGGTGGGGTCAACATATTACATATACCTAACTCATGGAAAGCTTGCATCTGATGATTATGGACAAAAGCAGCATCAACTGTCATCAAAACTGAAACCCTAATCCACAACATCATTGTCATCATGGCAATCGTCATGTGCAAGCTTAGCAGATCATGAGTAGTACAATGTAGATGTTCTTGTTGTGTGGATTATAGTGGCAATCAAGTGCGTACGCAAGATTCTCAGTAAGTGTGTAATATTTGTGTGTATTTCGGAGAGAGGATACACAAATTAAGCACAAAGTGGTGACCTTAAAAAAAAAGCACTAGTGTATATAAGAGGTGTAAACTGTTAGGTCTATTAATACACGCATTGGATATGAGTTTAAAATGAAAAAATAAAAAAATTACATGGGTTGAGAACTTGAGATCGTTACTGTATTCCATATCGATACGACATGAAGTCTTTTTTTTTTTTTTCTATAAAGTCTCTTTTGGAAAGTGAATACGAGACTTTATATATATATATTAGAAAGACTAGTTGGTGGGCTTGTAACACTTTTTAACCTATAAATAAATAATATATTGAATTCAATGACAAAAGTTTTATTGTTACAGTAAGAGAGTGTTTGAGATTTAATTTTGAAGTTAAAAATGATTTTTTATCCAAAATGACTTATTGACTTATGAAGGTGGGAAAATGAGTTTTTTAAAAAATGTTTGTATTAGATTTTATAGTTGTAAAAATTAATAAGTTAATAAATTAAAAGTGTTTGACTTAATTTTGGCTTTTATCTACTTTGTAAACCTAATAAGTCATAAGTTGTTTCAAAAAATTAGACTAAACAAAAAGTTTTTTTTAAATGTTTTTTTCTATACATTAACATTTTTTTATCTTATTGACTTTTCAAGAAGTCAGTAAATTAAAAAAAATCATTTTTAGATGAACAAGTCAACCACTCTATAAGAATCTACTTTTTTCAACATATCACATTAAAAGGTTAAAAGCATTAGAAACACATTTTAATATAACTTTCATCAATTTGACTCGTTTTCCTTTTAACACATGTTTTTTTTATCTTTACCCATTTGGTACTTGTATTCAAAATGTTTTGCATAAACTTTGTGAATTAATCGGGTTGAAGATTAGAGAAATAAGAAATGTTAGGAGGCTTTAACTATAAGTACACCATTTCGGTTAGTGTGAGACCATATATGTTGGGGACCAATAGAGTTCTTATCAAATTTAAACAAACATCTCTATCACAACGCCAAATTGCTGAAATATTGTTAGAAGTGTTATAAAAGCTCATCTCATCCTTTACATAACTAATTCCCCAAATATTAACCTAGTTAATAATATGGAGGAAATTTAAAGTTTAGTATTAATGATGTGGCAAAGGTTTTGGGGCCCCTCTCCTATGTGATTTTCTCTAATCACCTAACAATCTAATAGAATCTTATTGGGATTCTAAATTTCTAATCGTTTTAAATGTCTGGTTTAATGTTACGATCAAATATTAAACAAAATCGGCAACACTTTTATCAGAGATTTTAGCATGTCCCCGATATCAATGAATTTGTGAAATAGTTCAAGTTTTGGGTTCTTTGCACAAATGGCATACATGTGTATATATGCAATGAAAATCTGTAGTAGAATATGAACAAAAATGTGTTAATCACTATTCACTAGGCATCTTTCACATCCACCATATACAAGCTTTGTCCGGTCTATTTTAGAGATGAAGACAGAAAGGTAGTTGTGATGTACCTCTTGCCTCTTCTTCTATTTTCGTCTTTTAGATAATAATAATTAATCATATTTCAAAAAATCAGGCAACTTTTCTATTTAACCAAAAGTTTTGTAAATTCTTATTAATAATCATTCAGAAGACATTTATGGAAAGAAGCACCTAAAGGGTTTTTTTTTTTTTTTTTTTTTTTTTTTTTTTTTTTTTTTTTTTCGAACAGCTTAAAGATTATAAATACCAAAACTAACACAAAAACCAGGAAAATTACACAAAATTCATTGGGTTTTGGAGCCAAGAAACCGAAGTAATATTTTTCTTACAATATCTATTTGAAAACCAAAAAAACGATAAATCAACAACCGAATAAAAAATATGATCTTTTCTCCGCATACTTTCGGTAAACACGGCCTCTTTCTATATTTTCAAACCACCCAACAAGTTATTCTAATTATTGCATCAATGATATTCTTCTTTATTTGCGAAACTTGTAACGCTTACACCCATGTAATTAAATTCACAATTACCAAGGACCAAGGAAGATCCATATCTAACTAATGAGATATTGCATCCCACGTCTTCATAGTCACCAGACACTCACACCATTTCCGTTTGCATGTTACACATCGGGCACATAATTATAGGAATGATTGCACCTCTATAAGACAAATTAATACGATTTGAAAGCCAATCTAGCATTAACCGCCAAAAAAATATATTAATTTTCTAGGGAATAAATTTATTCCAAAATGTTTCGCTTTCATTTCGTTTCTTTAGCATTAAAGTTACCATCAGAACTAATTTCTCAACTCCAATTATCCATCATGAAGGTCCTACCGCCTACGCAGCTCCCATCTCCACTGAGAATCATCCTACCGATCTTTTATCTTGCAATCTTTATTATTTACTAACCAATATAAAGTAGGGAAACGGATCCTTAACGTGACATTACCAATACACACTTCCACCCCCCACCCCCCAAAAAAAAAAAAAAAAAAAAAACATCTACCCCACTAACAACTTTACGATGCAAAGAGGACATCAAAATAATATTTTTATCATTCATTTGATTCCATGCCCAAAACGCCTTGATCTCGAGATTTCACTCCGGTCAACATAAAAGCACCTAAAGGTGTGTTACGGAAAGTGGACATACAGTCTTGTTTTTATGTGGACGATTGAGAGAAAGGGGAATTGCAATCAATGTTTTAAAATAGGTTTTTTAGTTGAACCGCCCGATCTAGAAGTGGTGTGCGTCGACCTTTAAGTTGTTTATACTTCAGATTGATCGATCGAGCAATTCAATTTTCTTTGTAAATCGACTGTTTTTTTAATGATCCTGCTTTATAATTGTTATTGAGTACCATATTGGACTCTGTTAATTATATCTACACTCTGATTCATGATCCAAATTCACCAGATAACAATCTCGTGGTATGCTACTATTTTTGTAAAGGCGAAGAAAGAAGAATAAAAACATTTACAATGTGTTGAATGTGCTTTGAGAACTAACGACCCAAATTGATATTGTCCCACCCGAGCAAAGTAAAAAAAATGACACACTATATCGAAAGGATAAGTATTTGGGGTCGACCATGTTGTAGTTAGGGTTATATTTTGTATTTTGCTTGTATAATAGGGTTAATAGTTAGGGTTTCAAATGTATTATCATTTTTCAAACTCAAATAAAAATACTTCTTTTTTATCTGTGGATGTATGTCACATTAACTGAACCATGTCAAATATTTTGTTTTCACGTGTGTGATTTCTTTTCTTCAACAATGAAATCAATATTTAGTTATTGACATGCATTTGTAGCTCACGATTTATACCTAATCTAGCATGTTGTAACAAATAATAACCTACGAATTATATTAATACACAAACGCACAAAATAAACTTAGGGAAATCTTCAGAAAAATCTTAATATTTTGGAAAAAAAATTTAGTAAACTCCTAAATTTTATTTTTTGAACAGAAATGTCCCAACTTTTTAACATTTTGAATAGAAAAGTCCAAGAAACCGCTTATTTTATTCACTTTAGTCCCTTTTGACCTATTCAGCAGGTCATGAGACAAAATCGTTAATTTTTCAAAAATAATAGATCTTTACTGCAGATTTTATCAAAATTTGTATATAATGTATAAACATATTTTTTACGTATTTATATCTATTTTTACGTATTTCTGTATATTTTTTAAAGCTTTTATATGTACATGTTTAGGTATTTTTATGTATTTTAAATTTATAAACGTATTTTTTACATATTTATATGTATTTTTAGGTATTTTACATATTTTTATGTATTTTACGTGTTATTTTTTTTAAGTATTACATATTTATATCTATTTTTATGTATTTATGTATTTTTTTAAGTTTTTATATGTATTTGTTTACATTTTTAATGTATTTTGAATTTATAAACGTAGTTTTTTACGTATTTATATGTATTTTTAAGTATTTTACATAAAATTTATTTGTTTTTATTTGTTATTTTTTTATGTATTACGTATTTATGTATATTTTTTTAAGTTATTTATATAGATGTTTATATATATAAATGTATAAACATATTTTTTACGTATTTATATGTATTTTTAAGTATTTTACATATCTTGTATGTATTTCTATATGTTTTTTATGTATTACATATTTCTATGTATTTTTACGTATTTGTGTATTTTTTAAGTTTTTTATATAGTTGGTTATGTATTTTAAATGTATAATTGTATTATTTTTACCTATTTATGTATTATTTTACTTCAAGTCGTCTTTACCATTTCATCTAATTCGCACCAACTTATTCGAGTATGTTTTGATGGTTTCCTAGATACCCACATATTTTAAGTTTTTCTCATTCGATGTTTAATTTCAAGATAAGCAAATGGAAAAAGCTTAAAATATGAGGCTATGTAGAAAAACCATCTAGACATACTCGAAGAAACTGTACGAATTGGATAAAATTATGAAGATGACTTGAAGTACAAAATACATAAATAGGTAAAAATAATATGATTATACTTTTAAAATAAATAAACATCTATACAAAAAACTAAAAAAAAATACATAAATATGTAAAAATACATATAAATACGTAATACATAAAAACACATAAAAATACACAAAACATATGTAAAATACTTATAAATGCATATAAATACATAAAAAATACGTTTTTACATTTAAAATACATAAAAATACATAAACATCTATATAGAAAACTTAAAAAAAATACATAAATACATATAAATACGCAATACATTAAAAAACACATTAAAATACATAAAATATATGGAAAATACTTAAAAATAAATATATTTATGTAAAAAATATGTTTATATATTAAAAATATATAAACATCTAGATAAAAAACTTAAAGAATACATAAATACGTAATACATAAAAAAC